CAGATCTTCAATGCTAACCTCCTGCTCATTGGCTGAGACTGCCTTTCTATTTATCCAATCAGCAGCCTCCTTCCCAGGACAGCAACACACGCACCAATCCAAGTCTGGAAGTTGCTACTGTGTGAAAAAGGACCGCGTAACCTGCTGTTTTTAACCTAGAGACACCAGGCTAAACGGCAGACAATGGAAAACAAAGCCCAAAATCTTGTCTGGTTTTGGCTTCTGTGCTAGCTATAGGACTCTTAGAAGCATACGCTGCAAAGAAATGTTTGCTCTAAAAGCACACTGACTCCTCACGTATTACATCCACAACAGAACAGCTGATTTGTCATTTTTATGAGCAAAGATAATTCAATGAATTCTAGGAAACAATAGTTCCTCTTACCCCATCCTAAGCTTCCAGATCAATCTCTTTTAGTTATTTCTAGGCTACCAAATTAATATCTAGCTTTATTTACCGGTATTTCAGAAGCCTTAGACTCCACCCTTCCAATGTAAAAACTCAAGGGAGTGATTGGTTTTTCTTAGAGAAAGAAATCTAATTGTACGGGGGGGGGGAGACTTAGCAGTTGCAAAAATACAAAAAGCCAACTTTGTGACAGGCAGCATTTGAAGGATGGTTTTAAATTATCATTTTCTTATTGTTGACATCCTAGTTCCAGTCCCTGCTCCCCTACCCACTTCCTCTCATTAAAAGGCAGCAATTTCTGGGAAGAAATCAATGTAATTCCCCCCCCCCTCCTGCTCTCTCTTTCCCAAGGCGTTATGACTATGTAGTGCAGGGTTAGGTTATGAAGAAGGAGGCCCCACCCTATTCTGATAACTGATGAATCAGCCCTCAGTCAAGTTTCAAAGTGTTACTGGAGACACCAGTTTCATGTGGGAAAGGAGAAAAAGGACAAAATGCCACCTCACCTGCCTGGGACGGTTCAGTGTATCAGTATGAGATAAGAAAGTGTCAAAGTCTCTCGTCAGAGTACTTGGTTGAGGATAATCCACAGGCCTCATAAAGGTGAAATCACTTCTGTCCGAGCCGGGAGAATAGCTGGCTCTATAGCACTGGCTCTGGGAGTCTGTGGGCCTGAGTGTGACCTCCATGTATTTCAATGTGCCATCTGAGTTCAGTTGAAGCTTAGGGCTGGATTGTTTGAAAACATCCCTGGCAGGAGCACCACTCAGGCTGCAGCAAGAAGAACCCCTGGCTTTTTTATTCCGAAAGCATTTTGCAGACAGGATTATGAACGTAACGAGGGACACAATGCTAACTGCCACCAGCGCAATAATCAGATAGAGGGTCAGGTCAGATTTTTCTTTGGGGTGAGTCAGGAAATCAAGAGACTGGGGCCTTTCCTCAGTTACTTTATCCTCCAATGAGACCACGATGGTGACGGTGGTAGACAAAGGTGGTTCTCCATTGTCCTTCACTAGTACAAGGATTTTCTGTGCCGGGAGATCTGTTTCCTGGAACTCCCGAACAGTCCAGATTTCCCCAGTGTAGGGAGCCACTCGGAACAAGGAGGGGTCAGTAGACTGGGAAAGCAAGGAGTAAGAGAGCCAGGCATTATGGCCAGAGTCTGCATCCACGGCAGTGACTTTGGTGACCACGTAGCCTGCCGACGCAGACTGAGGGATCCTCTGGATTGCAGACAGTTCCCGACCAGTCACTGGGTGCAAAACAACAGGCGTGTTATCATTCTGATCCATTATGAAGAGGTAGACAGTGACACTGGAGCTCAGTTGGGGTGACCCAGCATCATGCACCATGATGGGGATTTGCAGCACCTGCAGCATTTCATAGTCAAAAGAGTGCTGGGCATAGACATTCCCATTGTCTGGGTTGACGTAAATGAAAGACGAGACTGGAGCATCTTGAATGGGGCTTCCTGCCACTGAGTACGTGAGCCGGGAATTGTCCCCCTCGTCAGGATCAGAGGCCACCACAGTGCATAGCAGAGAGCCAGGGGGATTGTTCTCCTTCAAGAAGGAGTTGTAGAAGGGTTGAGAGAAGTACGGGGCATTGTCATTAACATCTGAAATGTTCAGCAAGATGGTGACATCTGTGGTTAGAGGTGGGGACCCTGAATCTTGGGCTGTCAACTTGATAGTGTATCGAGAAACTGTTTCTCTATCCAGCTTCTCAGAGGTAATCAAAGAATAGTGGTTTTCAAAAGATTTAATTTTAAAGGGCAAGTTTGGTGATATTTGTAAGCTCACCTTTCCATTGGCACCTGAATCTTGGTCTCGCACATTGAAAAGCCCTACCACTGTCTCTAAAGGGGTGTTTTCTGGCACGGGGTTTACCAGAGAGGTAAGGAGAACCTCTGGGGGGTGGTCGTTCTCGTCTTCAACTTCCATTTGGATTACACAATGGCCTTCCATTTGAGGAATGCCCTTGTCCCTGGCCCTTACATGAAGCTCATAAAAATGAGATTCTTCGAAATCCACAACTCCTTGGACACGGATCTCACCTGTGTGGGGATCCAAGCCAAACAACTTCTGGATGGAATCAGGTGTGTGGATTCCAAAGGAATACTGTATTTCCCCATTAGAACCTGCATCAGGGTCAGTTGCATTAAGTCTGAAAAGCAAAGAGCCTACAGGGATGTTCTCCGAAAATCTTATCTTGTACAAAGGAAGGTCAAATGCAGGCTCATTATCATTATTATCCAGGACCACAATGGTGATCAGAGCTGTTCCCGACAGTACAGGATCCCCCCCATCACAGGCAGTCAGGATGAGCTGGTGTTCCGATTGTTGCTCTCGGTCCAAAGGTTGCTCTAGCACCAGCTCAGGTAAAAGCTTGCCGTCGTTCACATTCTTTACATTAAGTGAGAAGTGGGGGTTGGGGCTGAGTCGGTAGACACTGACTGCATTGGTCCCCACGTCCGCATCATGAGCGCTCTCCAGTGGAAAGCGAGACCCTGTGGCGGCAGACTCTGCTATCCTCAGCACAAGCTTGGGGGTGAGGAAACCGGGGGAATTGTCATTTAAGTCCAGGATCTCTACCTCCAGGTGAAAGAGCTCCAAGGGATTTTCTATGACTACTTGGACTGGCAAAATGCACCCCGAGCTTGCTCCACACAGGGTCTCTCGGTCTATCTTTTCATTCACTATCAGAGCACCGTTGGCCAAGCTAACTGCAAAGTACCTCTTGCTCTCCTCAGAGCCCAGCCTCAGCCTGCGACGGGAAAGGTCTGCCACCGTTAAGCCCAAGTCCTGAGCCACCTTTCCCACCAAGGTGCCCAGCTCCGATTCCTCCACCACGGAATAGTGGATCTGTCCTGTAACCAACGCCCGGCTGAAGAGCAAAAACAAACCCAGTACTTGCCATTTGAAAGAGGGTTGCCGGGACAAATGTGGCTCCATTTCAGAAAAAAGTCCCCTTCCAGAAGGAGTCTTTGTGGTATCCCAGGGATAAGGAGGCTCCAGGACTTGGATGAATGCTGTTTTTTAAATCCCTCGGTATTTCCTTCCAAATGAGTTAAAGTAGCTTTTGAGCTTGCCTAGCTGCAGCAACAGAATGTTAGTCAGAGAGTTGAGGGGGTGGATTGGGGGAGGGAAGCTGAATTACAGCCATAGCGACGGAGGAGGAAAGTCAAGGCAGAAAGAGCTGATCCCCCCCTCCCCCCAAAATCTGGATCAGCACCTGACTAGATGACAGCTCCATCCACTCTCCACCAGTGACAAGTCCACCTACACTCTTAAAGCTGCTGCAGCACAGGAAGTTGGGAGACCAGGACTGATCACCCCCATACCTCAACCCTAAATGTAACCAAGAGGCTGGTTTGCCACTGGTTTTGGCAGCTAAGTTTAGCAGCTCAGATTCTTGTTCTCAAGGAAACAGCACGTCCGGGAAGCATGAACGGTACAAATCCTCATTGTTCACATTAGCTAGATTCATTCCATCTCATCTGAACAAAAGACAAACTCTCAGCTGTAGGGGATACAGAACCATAGTCTCTCTGGCGAACAACTGGTCTGATTTTTCACTTGCAGTGAAAAAGGTATTTGTTACAGTCGAAAAGAGGAAAGATAGGGAGAAACTCTCACAGAAAGTGCTTTAGCATTTTGCAACGCAGCTTCAATAAATGCATTTAAAACTCTTAGTCATTACCAAGGCAAAACAGACCCTTTCAGAATGTTCATTTTCAAATGCAGACATGGGAACCTCCGCCACACAGTGAAGAATGCACAATCTTCAAAATTGCTTAAGGCCTCCCAGCTCTATTCATTGGCCTTTCCAAAATTAGAACACCACAATCAATGCAGCAGTATTTCTAAGTAGAACCATTGTAACCCAAAGACCATGGTGTGGCTTTGAATGTCAGGGACCCACATAGCAAGTAGTTTTTAAGCTGTGGTGTTAAGGCACTTTCCAACAGCACTTTCCAAGAATGCGACACCCAAGTACAGATTCACAGAACTGTGATGGACTCAGTGAGTGGACCATTTTTCTTAAGATGGGGTGCCTCACTCTTGATGCACTCCCGACTTACGATCCTTAGCACTTTTTCTTTCCCCTCTTTCCACCAAGCTTTCAAAAACACCAGAAAAACAAATATTTGACAACCTCCCCCTGGAAAATAATTTAACTGCTGGATTTATTTTTCGGTTATAAACTTTTTGCTGCTTGTTAACTTAAATCTAAGTACCAGTAGTTTAAAAGCATTACTTCTTGCCAAATATCCACAGGGTGAACAACTGCTAATCTTCCCAAGCTTCTTCTAAAATAGCCTATCTCCTTGAAGAATCTCAAATCCAACAAAATGCTTTTTAATTTACAAACTGACCACCTTAACACAAAGGCTGCCTGACATTGCCATTGCATCTGTGAGCTTATCTCTGGAGATTGTTACAGAATCACAGGGTGCTACACGACATAGTTATAGAACAGTATTTCATGCCTCACCTCGTTTGGCTCTTGGGAAAGGCTGCAGGCCAGAAGTGTGCCTGTGCTGTTGATATCCTGCTGAGTGACTGGTGTAGCTATCCTGAAATTCCTCCCTTCTGAAAAGTGGGTCTGGCCAGGCCTTAGGAGGGTAAAAGGAGAAACAACATCTCCCCCAATGAAGGCTGCAGGGAATTCCATTTTTTCCTCCTGGCTCAAGCGTACTGAGAACGTGTCAAAGTGTCCTCCCACAGGAATAGAGTTCCTACCTTCAGGTCGCTGGTCCAACCCACATCTGAGTGTCTTCCTTTCAATCTTTTAAGACACTTCATAGCTAAAAACACAAAGGCCAGAGCAGAAAGTCCTGAGATTGTGATTAGAGCAATAATGAGTTGCAACGTCAGGTGAGATAGCCCTTCTTGTTCCATGCTGGACTCTCTGAGGTCTGCTGTGCCCAACTCATGCTCATGCTCTAGATTAAGAATCAGAGTGGCTGTGGCAGACAGAGGTGGCTTCCCATTGTCCAAGATCTCAACAACCAACTCTTGGGAAGGGGCGTCTTGTTCCAGGAGGGCTCGGACGGTTCGGATCTCTCCTGTGAACGCCGATACTTGGAAAAGGCTTGGGTCTGTGGCTTGCTGCAACTTATAAGAAACCCATGCATTCTGCCCAGAGTCTGCATCCACAGCTGTGACTTTGGTTACCAGGTAACCTCCTTGTGCAGAAAAAGGGACTGGCTGCTGGGCTAGGACCCCCTTCTTGGTTACAGGGTATACAACGAGAGGAGCATTATCATTCTGGTCTATGATGAAGATGGAGACAGTCACGTTGGCACAGAGTGGAGGAGAACCATTATCCTTAGCTTGAATCTGGAAAACCAGTTGCTGGGTTTGCTCATAGTCAAATGAGCAGCCACTGTAGATAGTACCGTTCTCCATAACATAGACATAGGAGGAAATGGGCATTCCATTTATGATATGCTCTACTAACGAATAAGACAGGTGTGAGTTCTGCCCCAGATCAGGGTCAAAGGCAGATATAGAAATGATTGGCAGCCCCAGAGCATTGTTCTCAGTTACGAGAGTCTCATATGCAGGCTGTGAGAAGTGGGGTGGGTTATCGTTCAGGTCAGATATATTTACAAGGAAGTTTCTTTGACTGGAGAGAGGTGGAGAACCAGAATCTGTAGCTGTGATCATAACTTTGTACTGTGAGATTTCCTCCCGATCTAGGGGGCCACTGGTGATCAAAGAGTAGTGGTTCTTGAAGGAAGGTACAATCTGGAAGGGGATATCTGCAGGGAGGTGAAGCTGTACTTCTCCATTTCCCCCAGAATCTGCATCACTGACTCTGAGGAGCCCTGCTGTGGTGCCTGGGGGAGCATCTTCTGGTATGGTGGTGGTGAGGGAAGTGAACCTAATGATAGGCTCATTGTCATTCACATCCACTACCTCCACTAAGATGTTGCAGTGTGCATCCATGGAAGGTGACCCTTGGTCTTTGGCCCTCACATCAATTTCATACAATGTGTCATCTTCGTAATCCACACTTCCCAGGACTCTTATCTCCCCAGTCTCCTCATTAAGGCTGAACATTTTCCGGATTTTCTGTGGAGTGTGGCTGCTGAAGGAGTAGGAAACTTTCCCATTTGCCCCCTCATCATTGTCTGTAGCTTGTAAATGTGTCACAAGGGCCCCCACTGGGGCATTTTCTAGTAGGCTAACTTTGTACACCGACTGGTTAAAGACAGGTGGATTGTCATTGGCGTCTATGACTGACACGAGAATCTTTGCTGTCCCGGATTTAGCAGGAACTCCTCCATCCAGGGCTGTAAGCACCAGGGGGTAGCGCTGCTGTTGTTCTCTATCCAGCGCCTTCTCTAACACCAGCTCAGGTTTGCTGCCGCCTTTATGTGACTTAACACTGAGGCTGAATTGTCCACGTGGACTCAGCTGGTAGGTGCTGACTGAATTCATGCCAACGTCCAAATCTTCAGCACTTTCCAGGGGGAAGCGGGCCCCTGGCATTGCAGACTCTGCTATCTCCAAATGGGTGAGACTGGTAAGAAAAACCGGGTCATTGTCATTCACATCCAAGAGCTCAACTTCCACACGATGGGAGGCTGTTGGGTTTGCAAGTAGGAGCTCCAGATAGAGCAGGCAGTGTAAGCTGGGCCCACAAAGCTGCTCTCGGTCCAGCCGTTCTTTCACGACCAAGACACCATTTGGCACCTTGGCTTCGAAGTACTTTTCAGCAGAGCCAGCCATGATCTGCAGCTGTCGGGAGAGCACCCGGGCAGCATCTAGACCCAAGTCTTTAGCCACATCCCCAACAAAGGCCCCAGGAGCTAACTCCTCAGGAATCGAATAACGGAGCTGGGTCATCTCTCCAGCACACTGGAGAGAGACAGAAACCAAAAGCAAAGCTCTTACTTGCCATGGCAGGAGTAGTCTTTCTTCCAGAGACAGCATAATGTCGCCAGAATTTCCTCTTCCTTTGCTGGACCTCTGTCCTCTCTGATTCCAGCACAGCCAAGGAAACAACACAGAATCCCGGGTTAGATCGCACAACGGATGAGAAAGCGGCGCACCATCTGCATCTTTTCTCTGTTTTTCTTCCACAGAAAACAGCAGCGGTGCCTAGTCCGTATCGGAATCAAGAGGGGAGGAGCTTTGTTGTCCATCAAAGCAGATACAGGGCTCCTGGAATCAAGGAAGCGCCTGGCTGTTTGCGATGGACCACCCATTCTCCCCCTCCCCAGCTCCAGCAATGGGGTGGGGGAGGTCTTAAAGCGCCAGTGCAAATGTTGAAGAGCTGGGAGCCCATTCGCCAGCTGTCAGTGACTGGATTTCCCAAGATAATTATATGAACAATAAATCCTATGTCATTACAAGCTTTTGAATTCATTAATGAATGTCACAAGCATTTAAATTCAATAATGAACACTCTTTGTTTGGAATGGTTGGGGTTATAAGCTAAACCAGCAAACTGCATATTTTGCAGATTTTTTAAAAAATAGAATGCAACAAACACCAGTGGCTGCACAATCAAGTGATATACTGCCATTTGCTGGATATAAGATCAAGTTAAAAGACCCATTGATGTCTGCCTGAATTTCCTTTAAATGAATGGAATTCAATAACCGATGCAGGAGAGCTCTTCAAAGCTCATTCCCACTATGGCCTTTGTTCTCCAAATGGAGTATACTAGAGTCTCTCCATATTTCCTTTCCTAAATTTCAGGAGTTTTGCAGCCAGTACACAAAACAGAATAAACCATGACATCACAAAGGAAATTTTTAAGCCTCTGGAGTGAAAGGTTAGGAGGAGCAAGGTTAAAAAGAGTTTTATGAGCAAGAACCTGGTCCCTGATGTTCCCAACAAACAGCTTCCATAGTGGAGACAACTAAGATAATAGTTAGGGAAGGGGTCAGGTCAAGGAGATTCATGGACTTCCTGGAAAAGATGAAAGAAATCTATGAATAAAAGTATTTTCTCTCCCCTAAAGGTAGACAATGCCTTCTGAATGTTGTCATGGTAGACTTCAGTGAAGAGGTAGATGAGGCACACTGCTGTTGAAAAAGTGGTGTCTTCTGTCTTATGTGCTTTAGAAGCACCTGGATTTGCTCCTAGTGGCATCATGTGTGGATGAGAAGCTGGGCACCTCCCGTGTGTGAGATTTCACAGTAGAAATGAAACAGACAGAATGTATTTACGGTGCTGGTTCTTCTCCAGGAGTACTGTGCAGATAATATAGGGCAATGATTACAGGTTGTTCATATTGCATTTGTTATTCTGTTAGCTAGATTGGTCTTCACTGTCCAGAGGAGTATTTGTGACTAAAACCTGGTTTTGAAACACGGCCCATGGCTTTAAACGCAAGCATCTGGGAATACTGGCAATCACTGCTGCTCCACTGCCTCTGGAATGAGCTGCTTGCTATGTGCAGAGACATGCTCTCTGGCACGGACAAAGTTTGTTTTGACCAAGGTACAATCTTTTGGGTATTTGGGGAACATAAAAAATGTGCACCAGCATATGTTCCATGGCAAAGACGTCCACCTCATTTTAACATTAAACTTATAGCTTCTGTTTGTTTGTAAGCAAGCCTCCTTTTCACCACAGCTGTGACTTCCCAATAGTCACATAGTGCCCCAGCTGGAGTATAGTTGCATCAGGTGGAGTCCCCCTATATACGGAATTGCCATACTAAGTAAGGTGTTGCTCCAATATAGAGCTTTCAGGACCAAGCAATGCTCAACTTCCTTAATTCCCGGTCAATGTTTTTCAAAGACGCAAGTTCAGATCTCTTCACATCAACAGACAAGAAAGTCTTAACAAGTAAGTGATGATGGAACTGCTGCTTGTTCTACTAACCAAGGAATGTTAATTTCTCTGATTCTAAATATCTCTCTGTGTCACAGGCCCTGGAGAGGGTAGGAATCGTCAACACCTGCATTTCCCACTTCTGCCTGATACATTTCCATGGATCTTCTTACATCCATTTTGACTCCATGAAGGAGCTTGACTCACATGTACACAGGGACTCACAGTTTACAGGTTCCTTTCAAAGAAGTAAAAATCTATTTCCACAGTTATCATCTCACTAATCAACTATTATATAGCAGTCGTTTGGGGATGCAATTTCCCGTTCTTTGCTATGATTTCTATGTAACCTAAACTCACCCTTCTAGTCCACTTGGACTAGTGATGGTCAGGGATTGGCACAGTGCCTGGGCAGAGAGCGCAGAACAATTAGTAGCATCCACAAAACTCCTGCAGGGTGGAAGCACCTTGAGATTCTGGACTCAGGCTACATCAAGAGCAATTTTCTTCAGCTCAAGAGTTTGCATTTGTATATTACAACAGCAAAAATCACAATATCAAATACATTCCTTGACTTACTGATTCTGCCTTTTCTAATGCCTGAGAATACACAATAAAAAACACTTAAGGATACTATTCTTTATAATGAATGTTCTTATCTTGATAATACCAATGTCTTTTTACACTCTTGCTTCTCTTGAATTCACCTGCACATAACTTTCAACTTTGCAATCCTATTTATTTTCAGAATCCATTTAGTCGCAAATAGCACACATACTGTACAAATATTTCTAACTAGTTATATACAGTCTTGGTTCACAGAGCTACGAACGCTGCATACCAAGCTAAGTGGCTTTGAAAGCTGCAAAGCCACTTGGCTTGGTTTAACTAACACACATGAATTATACTACATGACACTGTGCTAAACTTCACAGGAAACAGTATTTGATGAGAAGCATTCAAATCAGTTCCTAATGCGCACTCGTGCCATTTAACTTAATGGAATGGAAAAGAAATTCTGTGTTCTAAACCCTTGTCTTTAATGAAATCACAATAAATATTTGGTGCACAGGAAAACATTTCAAGAATGGAAATGGGAAACCTTGTAATTAGGATTTGAGAGGAGTGGGGAGACTGAAATCTCACTTCAAAATCTGAAATGTGATTGAGTTTGATTGCTTTAGACTTTTTGGACAGTCAATGACTATTTTCTATGTTCAAGATTGTAGACAAGCAAGCAAGAGGGAAATTTTAAATGTTGGGGGTCAACATACAGTAAGTTTCATTACATGCTCCCATCCCCCTACACTAAACTCATTTGTGAAAGGCACCATAAGATCTTGAGTGGGGTCTCTGGACAGGGATTGTGTATGTTTATTGCTGTCAAATCTCATCCAGTGGCAGATGGCTAGACAGCGTGATGTTAGCCAGCTCTTTCCACTCTTTGTCTTCCATTATCTTTACAGAAAAACAAATATGGTTACTTTCTTGCATTGCTCTAGATTAGATGATAAAGTTTCTGATCTTGGATTCTCCTGTGTTGCTTTGGCTGCATATATGCTCATCTTAATTTTCAAAGTGAGATTTCTTCTTTCCAATCTCAATGTCCTATAATTCAGGGATACTTGTTACAAACTAGAAGACCAGTGTGTTTGGCAGTAAACCCCACAGCATATGAAGCTGTCGCCTGCATTTATTTCTGTGCACAAAGCGCAGCAGGTCCTGGCCTCTTGCAACATATTTTCAAGCACATATGATTTTAATAAGTACAGCCTCCTCAACTGAAAATGCAATGAACACACTAAAAGTTCACATTGTTTCAGTAATATGTGAAGGAGCCCTGATTATATTTGGTGAGAGTCTGCCCTGGTTTTGCATATTTTAGAGCCAGGTGGCCTACTAATGAAAAGCCTCTGTGCATCATTCTAACTTTTGTTAAAAACACTAAAGAAATTAATGGTTCTGCCTGTACAGATTAAGTGTGGGATCTGGTGCAGCTTTAAGAGTACATCAGCTTAGGGTCATCATATTGTGCTGGAATTGCTAATGCCTATTGACAGGACACACACGGACACACAAACACACCTCTCTGCCGCTGTCTCTTTTGCCTGCCCTATTTTTCTGATCATAGTCATTTTCTTAACAATCTCCCAGACTATGTAATTTTGGGCAGGAAAACGTAGCTAAAACAATTTCCAAGGATCTCAGGGTTCACATGTCAACCATTTCAAGCAAAGCAACACGTATGGCAGTTAAGAAAGCCTAATTATGAATTGATAACAGCAATGCAACCCTTTTGGCATCAAAATAGTACTAATAAACAATAATAATTTAAATCTCAACAACAAATTAAAAGTACAGATGAAATCACTAATCAGTTATCGATGAATTAACATCATCATCATCATCATCATCATCATCATTATTACATTTATAAGGCTGCCCTATAGCAGTTTTCTGGGTAGCTCACAAACCAAACCAAGCAGTAAAATATAGCATATTAAAAACCTATGATGAATTAATTAAAAGTTGATGCACAATTTAAAACTCAAGGTATAAAATAAAAGGAAGCTACATACAAAATATCAATTACTGTTGAGAGTGTGTATATATATTTCCCACACAACCGAAAGGTTAGGTACCACATTGCTCTAAAACATGTTTGGATATCAGATGCCAAATACTAAATGCCAAATTAACCAGGTACAAAGACTCAAAACCAGTTCACTGAAATGATGGCCCTGAAAGCTATTCACAAACTATCAGGGGTGAAACTGGCCTGGAGCCAGACTCTTTCTTGCAACCTCTGCTTCACCCTTGCAATCTCTGGGCTTCCTGGTCCTTCTTCCAGCACCCTCTCCACATAAAGCCACAGTTTATCACTGTACCCTAAAACAACTTCCTGCCTATAGCATCTAATTGTGTAGCAGAATGCACCCTGAGCATGTATCTACACTGCAGATTCAAACTGGTGCAGCAATCGTTCCCAAGGAATTATAGGGATTGCGCTTCTGGCTCAGATTTCATTGAGGTTGTACACCTGAGTCTGGGCTGTACCACTTCAGACTGCAGGTGGGGACTCAAGATGGCTGTATGCTCCTCCATGCCAGCCACCCCACAGTTAGGATTGTTCTTCCTGACATCTAGATTTGAAAGAGCTCTGAATTCTTTGTACGCAGGAACATTCAAGGATGTGGGTTTCATCTGCAATCTGAAATGGTACAGCCTAGAAACAGATTAACCATCTTGGTGAGAACTGGGCCTCTGTGAGGAAATCTTACAAACATGACACACAACGTGCTCTCTTCACAGTGAAAATGTTCATGAATATTTCAAAGGAAACTAGCATGTACATACAATCCCAGCAATTAACATATTCACTGCCAGCCTTCTGCTGTTACACAATAACAAGATAAAACGAGTGTCACACGAGTGCTACCTAATGTTATCAGTGATCGGAATATGAGAGGAGCCTGGGAATGAAGGGAATTTGATGCCTCCTGGGCAGTTTGCCTATGCCTGGTATTTTAGGGGGGAAGACTGCTGGACAGAATGGGGATGGAGTGCAAGACAACAACATTTAAGTCAAGCTGAAAGTAGCCTGCCACTTGTGATTCCAAAAAGAAAGCTGAAGCCTGAAACTTTAGGTAAAACCTTGAGACTCAGAAACCCTAAAGCACAATAGCTTTGTGCAGCTGGTGGAAGAGTCAGGAAAAAGCTTACCTATGTAGGCGTTGACCGGTGTGCTTTGTAGGCACTGTGAGAAAGAACCTGGCTATTGTTGCTGTTGTTGTTATTACTCCTCCTCCTCCTCCTCTCTACACAGTAGCTTTTCTGGATTGCAGGCAAAATCTCTAGTTAATATTCACTTTCATACAATAACATATTGCATTATCTTTTCACTTATTGACTATTGATATGAACTCTACGATGGGGCTGCCTATGTTTTCCTGGACATTCAACAGGGAACACATTATCTTAGTATCGTAGCATCTCTACTCCCACCTGATCAGGGACAACATGGAGGGGGGGGGAACTGAGCCCCTCCAATTAAGCAGAGGGCTGGGCCCCCTCAATAGTCTGAGGCCTGCAAGCTATCTGAAGGCAATCCTGTATAGGGAAGGGAGGTTTTTGTGTTTTTATATATGTTGGAAGCTGCCCAGAGTGGCTGGGGCAACTCAGTAAGATGTGTGGATATAAATAATAAAATTATCATTATGGAATGGGACGTCCCTATTTTCATTGGAGAAATGTTGGTATGACAGAATGCCCAAGCCTCTTTGCAAACTTTTCACATTTTGCACTTGCTATAGGGTGGGGTATTCTTTACCATCTACCCACACTTATTGTGTAATAATATTTACAGAAAATAACTTATAGTGAGTACCTGATCTTAGACCAACTCACCACAGGAAAGATGCATCCTGTTTTGTAGAAAGAACAGGTTGGCTAAATAACAGAAATTCCAAGGACTAGAAAATGAAACAAGCAGGGCAGAAAAGTGCACTGGATGGAAGGGGGAAATGGCAGCTCTTTAAGACACCAGTTATTCTATAGCCTGGTGTCCAAACAACTTACTCATCAACCACAGCTCTGACGTCACTCATTTGCTAAAAACACTGAAAGGCGGGGATAGCTGGGCTGGCTCACTTAGAAGGGTACTCACACATTTTGCTTGATAACTTCATTTCTAGAAGGGCTAGGCTCTTACATTTTTTAAATGAAAGCTCAAAGTCTGGGTCCTCTGACAAGCATAGGCCCCAGCGCAATATCCGCAACCCCCTTGATTTCTTAAAATAAAAAGCATAGGGCCCTTCATTGGGAACAGAAGCACCAAACCAGCTGGCAACAGCTGCCACCTTCTCCAACGGTCCCAGGGCCTCTGGGCCTCACTTCAACATAGTGGTGCTATATTGGGGCCCAGAAGCACTGAGGGGAAATGAAAACGGCATTTCTCAGAATCAGGGCAAGGGAGCACAGGCACCGGAGCTTCTTCTTTCAGCAGCATCTCTCCTCACCACCCCCATGCTGCTGCCCATCCTTGCCTCCACCTGATGTGGCCTCCAGGTAAACTAATTTGGGGGTGCACACCTGGTGGCTGGTCCTGTGTGTAGACCTCCTTCTGAAAGGTCTCCATGCTCAGGCTCTTTCCCAGAAGTCTCTTTTGTATAGAAGAGCATCTTCCCTGGAAGGCTGCTGCCATTGCTTCCATAGAAAGTGCCATTCCCCCCTACCAAATTAGTCTGAATGAGAAGCCATCAGAGCCCTGTTCCAATGTCTCTTCTTCTGCTACTCCTACTCCTACTCCTACCCCTACTCCTACTCATGTTTGGCTACATACAGAATAGGTTCAATTCCACCATACACATAAGGAAAAGGAATAAGCCTTACATTTCCACCCCATCATAGATGAATATCAAACAGACATACATCAGAGGCTAGGCCCCCAAGGAAATGTTGAAGATGATCTCCCTTTAGCGTCTTGAAGAAGCACCCAAGCAAAAAGGCCTCCCAATACATATCCAACCCATTATTCACACAGCATTACTGTTTCCTTGCTTAAGATTTTTCGTAAAACATAAACTTACTGGGAACTATCATTCTTCAGAGGCAATGACTATGCAACCCAACAACAGCTGACCACATTGATCTGTTCCAGAGCAGAAAGAACAAACCACCCAACTCCAGCTTAAGTCAACTTAAGCTCAGAGCTGGGATTTCCCAACCTTGCTGGAGAAGGACAACAAGCATACATTACCTCAGAGGACACCAGAAGCCTGTTATTTGTGCTTATTAGCTGGTTATATATCGCAGGGTCACATCTTGTGATAGTGCTCTGGCGGCTCCCCATAGGGCTGGGAGCAAAGGGCATTTTGTACAGAAGTTCACTCTGGCGAGAGTCCGTGGTGAGGACCTGCTGGTAGAAGTTTGGAGGAGTAAATCCACTCCGCACAGTGTCTATGTGGTTGAAAGGCCCCGGGGTTCTATAAAGGGAGCTTCTGGAGGCTTTGAATATATCCTTGGATTGCCTCCACTTGTAAAATTTATAAATCCCCACCCCAACCACGGTGACAAAGAAGGCCACTGAGATCAAGATGACAGCAATGATTAAATAGAAAGTCAAGTGCTTCTTTGTTTGGGGTGTAGTGGACACAGCAGTCAAGTCTGTCAGTGTCTCCCTAGATGTCTCTGCTACATCTACAGCAAGGGTCACTGTGGAGGACAAGGCAGGCTCCCCATTGTCTTTTATTAAGATGAGCAATGTTTGCTTGCGAGAATCTTCCTCTTGCAGAGAACGAGCTGTGCTTATCTCCCCAGAATGCAGCCCCACAGTGAACAGCCCTGGGTCAGTGACCTGAAGGAAGGAATACGAGAGCCAGGCATTGTAACCAGAATCTGCATCCCAGGCCACAATTTTTGTGACCATGTAACCAGGGCTGACTGTGGGTGAGATGACTTCTGAGAGCGAAGAACTGTTGTTTGAGTTTGGGTATAAGAGCCTGGGTGCATTGTCATTCTGATCTGTGACAAAAACATTGACAGTGATGTTAGTGGCAAGGGGCGGGAGGCCGGCATCACGAACCTGCACCACTAGCCTGAACTCCATGGTGCCCTCATGGTCCAAGGGGACTAGGACATATATACTGCCATTTTCCCGGTTAATAGAAAAATACCTGCCCGCCAAGTCTCCCGAGGACATGGGACTATCCAGGATGGAGTAGGAAAGGTGAGAATTCCGGTTCAGATCCGGGTCAGAGGCACTGATGTTAAAGACCAGGGTCCCTGGAAGGTTGTTTTCCTCCACGTACACATCATAGGAGGATTGTGGAAATTTAGGAGGGTTGTCATTTACATCAGATACTTTAACCAGTATTTGCTTTTCTGCCATGAGTGAGGGTGTGCCTGCATCCTGAGCAGTGATGGTGATGTTGTACTCAGAGACAAGTTCCCTGTCCAAGGGTCCTTTGGTCTGTAAGGTATAATAGTTTTTAAGGGAAGAGCTGAGGGCAAAAGGGATCCCAGAAGGTATAAAGCAATTTACTAGGCCATTATCACCAGAGTCCTGATCCGTGACACTCAGCAACGCAATCACAGTCCCTGGAGCCGCGTCTTCTGGTACTGGGCTGTACACCGACGTCACTGTTATTTCTGGGGTGTTGTCGTTCACATCCACAATCTCTACCAGCACTTTGCAATGAGCGACACCAGGATTTGAACCCTTATCTTTTGCCTGGATATAAATCTCATAAAATTTGGCTTCTTCAAAATCCAGCAACCCCTTGAGCCTCAGTTCTCCAGTGGCAGAGTCTAGGGCAAAGAGCTGTTGGACTCTGGCAGGGGTGTGACTGCTGAAAGAGTACACAATCTCCCCATTGGGGCCTTCATCCAGGTCGAAAGCTCTGGTTTGGACAACCAGGGTGTTCAAGGGTGTGTCTTCTTTCACGCTGGCTCTGTAGATGGACTGGTTGAAGACAGGGGCGTTGTCATTTGCATCCAGGACGTCAACCAGCACCTGCAAGCTGGCCGATCGGGGTGGGGTCCCTCCATCCATCGCCGTGAGAACCAGCTGCACTTCCCGCTGCTGCTCCCGGTCCAGCTCTTTCTCCAGCACCAGCTCCGCATACTTCGTCCCGTCGCCTCGCGTCTGCACGTCCAGCACGAAGTGCGGGTTGGCGCTGAGCTGGTAGGTCTGCAGAGAGTTGCTTCCCACGTCGGGGTCCTGCGCGCTCTCCAAGGGGAAACGCGCTCCGGGGGTCACCGACTCGCTGATCTCCAGCTTCATCTGCTTGCTCTGGAAAGCCGGGTCGTTGTCGTTGACGTCCTGGATCTCCACCGTCACGCCGTACAGCACCAGCGGGCTCTCGGCCACCACCTCCAGGCTCAGCGCGCACGGCGAGAGGGCCCCGCAAAGTTCCTCGCGGTCGATGCGCTCGCTCACCAGCAACTTCCCGCTGCCCAGGTCCACCTCGAAGTACTTTCGTCCGCCGCCCGACACCACGCGGAGGTTCCTCGCGGGCAGCTGGGCGAGATCCAGGCCCAGGTCGCCCACCACGTTGCCCACCGAAGAGCCCCTGGGCATCTCCTCGGGGATGGCGTAGCGCGTGGCGGCGAGCGCCCGCTCCGAGACGCCCAGCCATAGCCAGAAGCCCACGACGGGCAGCCATCGCGCTCTCGGCCGGCTCCTTCCCGCGGCGCCTCTCATCTCCCGGCCTGGCAAAGTTTCTTTCTTTTCGCGGGAGCGGCGGGGAGGTCCCTCTAAAAGTTCTCAGCCGTCCCTTCCATGCGGCCGCGACCCTGCCCGGTCCAGGCTCGCCTCGCGCGGACTTTGGGGGTCGGGCATTGCTCGGCGGCGGGCCCGGCGGGGACTGCGCTCCGTCTGTTGCTGGCGCTCAACTCGCGGCGGCGGCGGCGGCGTCCCACTTCGCGCTGCTTCGCCGCCAGCATCGCCGGGTCAACAGCGGCGCGCAGAGTCGCGACCATTAACTGCAGGAGAGGCCGCTCCCGCTCCGCCTCCTCGGCTCGCCGCCGGGACTCCGAGGCACGAGGCGCACGGCTCCATCCAAGCTGGGCCGGCGGGGCCCGGTGGACTTATTTTTTCGGGGGGGGGGCGGGGGTGTTCCTCGGTGAAAGGCTTGGGGAGGCTGCCCCCTAGGCTGCACAGCCCTCCCCGCTCTGCCGCCGCGAGGAGGAGCGAAGGGAAGCGCGGACCAAGGAGGCAGCAAGGGCTCATTGTTCTCGCTGGGGAGCGTGGAGGAAGGGCTGGACCCCGGCCGCTTCCCAGGGATCGGGCGAGAGATGCCTGCCTGCCTCCGGTGCCTCCGCCTCTGGCTCCCTCGCTTACGCTCTCCCGGCGTGGCGGCTCTGTGGGGCAGCCCAGTGCTCCCCATGCACGGCACTGCTCAGGGAGAACCCCCAAGCCCCCCAAGGCGGTGTAAGCTTCCCCTCTCCCTCTGCTCCCCAATTTGCTGCCCAAAGGGAAAGGGGTGAGCAGGAAGATGGCAGGTTATTTTATTATGATTTTGTTACAGGACTTTCTATACTAACCTTCACTGGAAACCCCCCAGGATAGTTTGTGTGTGCGTGTGCATGGATTAAAATGCAGACAATACGCAGCAGAACAGTAATAAAACCCAGCGATCTTATGCAAGTAAGCAAAGAATCCACAGGGCTAAAATCAGCTCTAAAAGGGCTGGGGAAATGGAGAAGTCTACCTGGTGCTGGAAGGATTGCACTTCACAACTGAGGCACCACCACTGAGAAGGCCCTTTCTTTGGGGAGCAGCTGCCTTGTCTCAGTTTGTGGGGCTGCTCCTAGAAGATGTTCTCTTGAAGTTCTGAATGTTTGGGCCGACACACAAAGCATCCTGGGTCCAAAACTGGAAAAGGCTTTAAAAGTCAAAGCCAGCACTTGGGCTGAGAAATTGGGAGCCAATGCAACTGGCATATAGCACCAATGTTAGATTATCCTAATAAGCTACCCCAGTTGGTGATCCAGCAGCTGCATTCTGAACTAGCAGCAATTTCCAAGCCCACAGAGAGTATATCGCAGTAGTCTAACCTGGTACAACATAATCAATCACAAGACATGGCATGCACACACCATTTCAATGACAATGCCTTTGAGGGGCCCAGTCCCCTCAAATATTTTAGGGGAGCCTAAGGGACCTCAGTCCCTAGGAGTTGGCTCCTATGAACCTGGAAGTTATCAGAGTACAGATCATTGATGCTAAGCTAAACTTACAATTGCTGCTTGCTCTCAACTCCCTGCTACACTGGCCAGAGACAGAAGGTGAGGGGACCTGGGGAAGTAGTGTCTGCTCCTCTCACTTGCCTTTGCTCTCACCATAGATGGTGGGGTTTGGCTCCATAGGGAGAGCACAGGCAAAGTGCAGAAGCAACCATTACCCTGCACTAAAGCTTGCTTAGCTCTCTCTCTCTCTCTCAGGAGTATGGCAAGAAGGTTTAGGCCAGTAATCAACACAAGGAGAAGCCACTGCTGCTTCAGTTTGCTCACCTGCAAGCCCCACCCTAGAAGAGAATGAGTGGGAGCCAGGGCATGAGACAGCCTGAAGAAGTCACCTCAAATGGTGGAATCCCTGCAGACACCCCCCCCCCCGGTTGCCACCAGAGAAGTGAGCGGCAGTATCTTCCAAGTTCCAGTAAGGTATCGCAAGAGCCCACAGAGGCCTCCGGAGGCCTTCTCATGGGGCTCTCACTAGAACAGTGCCAGATTAGGGCAGTGCAAGCAGTTCTCCTGTACAGGGCTCTGAGCAAAATAATAATAATAATAATAATAATAATAATAATAATAATAATACATTTATTTATATGGGTACCTTCTAAGAAGATCAGTAAAAAATACAAAAAGGAATTATTGTGAAGATAAGAAATATTTTTTTCTTGGGGTGGGGTGGGGAGACACACACCAAATTTTGTACTTGCTCAGGGCACCATATTATCAAACTGCGCCCCTGGCTGGAACCCAGAAGCCACAGCTACACGACCCCATAAGTGAGCCTGGGCCAGCAGGTGGCACATACGTAGGGTGAAATGAGATGGGCCACCTCTGGTGGGAGCCTGTGCTTGTTTGATCTGGATGGCACAGTGGGGAGGATTGGTTCCAATCTCCAGGATTGCACCATCCCACAGAGTGCAGGGGAGTTAATGAAAGGAAGAGGAGGCTGCTTCTGATATGAGCAACCACTTGCACATTTCTGCTCTGAGTCTGGACACTATGAAGACTGGGGCAGCCAAGCTGCACCAGCTAGAGACTGCAAGTAGGCAGACAGCCACCCTTCTCAGACAAGGGGGATCAGAACAGCCAAGTCTCAGGATGCTTCCTTTTCTTTCCCTGTGTTGCTGATAGAACAAGTAGCTTCAGTCTAGGTTTGTGACTATGGGACAGGAATAGTAGTTATTCCAGATGAATGAACCTGAAGTAAAAAGGATGCAAATTTGGTGTTATATGATGCAAACCATTAAACAGTGTTGGGAGGTACAGTGTTACCTCGGGTTAATAACTTAATCCGTTCTGGAGGTCCGTTCTTAACCTGAAACTGTTCTTAACCTGAAGCACCACTTTAGCTAATGGGGCCTCCTGCTGCTGCCGTGCTGCCAGAGCACGATTTCTGTTCCCATCCTGAAGCAAAGTTCTTAACCCGAGGTAATATTTCTGGGTTAGCGGAGTCTGTAACCTGAAGCGTCTGTAACCTGAAGCGTATGTAACCCGAGTTACCACTGTACACTGATGTACAGCAATTTCTAGGATGGAGCAGTGCTTAAGCTGAGCCCTTCCCTTCTTCAGCTGCAGCTAAATCATAGATTTACCCTCCAAGGGGTTGAGCAACACTTTCGAAGCATTGCTCTTGCCCCTGCTTGCTCCTACCTGCTCACTCCTGCATCTCTACCCACCCTGTTCAACTGGCCAGCGCTCAAGGCAACTGATCACCTACCTATCATGCTTCCCTGCCAATGGGAGTTCTTAGCAGCTGGTATTGGAAACATTACACACATCCCATTTATGATCACAGGTAGCTGTTTCCATTATGCAACAGTAGAGTGCCTATCAGTTAAATAATTGATGGAATATGTAAAACTGGCTGACAGTGTATCAGACCATTAGCCCATCATTGACTACTCTAACAGGCAAGTCTAAGACCTCAGGAGAACATCTTTCATTGAATCAAAGAATTGTAGAACTGGAAGGGACCCAAATGGTCATCTAGTCCACCCCCCTGCAAAGCAGGAGCCACAATAACCTCTTTAGCTGGCAGTGGGAGGAATAGGAATGGAGGACCTTCTATACAAAAAGCACCAAAGACCCCATATTTCTTCCTATCCACCAGCAGGAAAACCAGGAAAGTTGTACTTTGGTCAGATGAAATGTCTATTCAGGGATGCTTTTTTATTGACTCAAAGAAAGCAAGTTTGTACTTGCTTAATGGGATACTCTTCCAAATCCCACTTTGACAGAATTTCCCACCAAAGGCCTAGCTTCTAAAGAACAAAATTAAATGGCCAGAAAATGGCATGGGCGTTAATGCCAATGCTAAACACAGGAATGGAGATGCTTCTTCATAAACATTAATAGTGCAGAAAATGGAGCTGAAAGACAGATTATTTGAAGTGCAGCAATTTCATAAGGCACACCGAAGGATGGACAGTTCAAAGATATAAAGTCTGCAAATCAACTGAGGCTGCACCATGTTAATGGTGTAAAAGAGCTTGTGTCTGTGGGCATGCCACACCACACTGGACAGTACAAGACTGACTGTTATTTTCACATCTTCTCCCTTTTTAAACATTCTCTCACTCTCTTCTTCTGCTTTAAACAACAAACAAAAAGCCGTCCACCTTCTGACCCAAATAAGAACCCCCAAGGTGGCATACACTTAAAATGATGAAATGTACACCCAGCATAATACAAGAGAGAGAGCACAGAAAGCACGTGAAAAGAACAGAACGGTGCAGCAGGGGGTAAATATTCAGCACAGAGGAAATGTTAATGCTCACAGCTCGGCTATCCAAGTTCCATGACAAGGCAAAAATGTTACTTTCCCCCCACAAGGCCACCAGATAAGACTTTTTGCAGCGGATGTGCTTCATTGTATCCCAGCCTGTTGATTCTGAATTGAAGGCCAACAACAATCAGCAAGCAATAGTAATAGCATATGACTAGCCAAACTGAGCATTCGATGGGAGATCTGTGATTGGATCTCCCCATACACTTTGCTTTTCCTAGTTTGGATCAGTGCCACAGAATGGGACCAAGACCTAAATCTTTATTGTGGCCTTATGGCTCTACTCAAACTTGCCTTCCTGGAACTGCTGTATTATGACAGCATGCTTTCCCCCTCTTTGGTTACTGGCAGCTTGGCTACTGGCCCTGATCCAAATGTCCCCACCCCACCCCCGCTGACCTAGGCCAGTAAATTTATTGGTGAGAACCAGTCACAGTCCTATCACACTGCAAACAAACACTAAGCATCTGATTCCCATCACCACTGCAGCGAGTTCTATGCAGGCCTATCCTTAAAGCCACAGCAGAACGGTGTGGCTTGTCTCCTGAAAAGGAATGAGGCACTTCAGTTCCATCTCAGTTGCCCTAGGCACTGCTTGCTTGCAAGATAAATCCTAGGTCTTTTCTTTAAAGCACCACTGTGCGGCACCTATCCTATTGAACCCCTTACCAAGGAAGCCTACATGCCACCTTCATTAGTGCCCCATATATATTTGTTCATTTGATGGCAGCTGACACTGCAGTTTTGGTTAGCAGCCTTAATGCCACGCACACTCTCTGCTTTTATTGGCCATTGCTCTTACTTTTGCATTGTTTTTATGACTATGCTTATTGCAGGAGCTGTGGCTTATGCTGAGGGGTTTTATTGTCTGCATTATGACAGGTTGCTGCCACTGCTGTGACTTGGATTATTTATTCTATTTTTTTGGTGCTGTTTTCATACTGTAAATTACTAATGTAATGACAACAACAATTCCAACCAGTGCTGCTCACAAACCTTTGAACTGAGCCAAATTCTTCACCAGGCTACCTTTTTATGTTTCTGAATGAGGCACATAGTGCTGATCTCTGACTGCAATTTATTTCAGTCTTAATTGAGAAATAGAGGGTGTGTGTGTGTGTGTGTGTGTGTGTGTGTTTTACAGTCTTGAATGGACCTTTGCCTTGTGCAAATGTATCAGGTTGCATAGAAGGCAAAGAAGTAACGGAGGAACACCTAACGAAAATATAACAAGTTGCTAGCCATGGAGGAAATTTATATCAGGAAAACACCACAGGCTAAAATATCTTTCCATATTCTATGGGCCATTAGACTAAAATCAGTCATGTTAAAAGGTCTGTGTGGGTGTGCAGCAAATATCCTTGGAAACATATGCTTGAGGAATATCCCAAATCTGATGCAACCATGCAAATCTATTCATGATTAGTTCTTGACTTCTTACCTAGTCTCTCTGGATTGTGTGTGAGAGAGCCTCCTGGGTGACAAGCAAGCTTCTACCTATGTACAGCTTCTCCCTGATATATGCAGCTGGTAGCAGGGAGGAGCGCACTATTTTCTGCACTGCAAGGGATCTTTGCTTTTGCTTTTTCCTATGGAGACACGAGTCCCACCTCAGCACTCACAAATGACATTTCTTTCACAATTTAAAGTGGATTTTCATTGTCTTCTTTCTAAAAATAGTGTCAATCATATCTATTTTATTAATATTTTTGTGATTTATGAACAGCTTTTTTGCCACACACAGGCAAAGATTATTTAGAAGGAAATGATAAAACCAAAATTTTGAACAAATTATAAAGATACTGTAAAATGCAGTAGAAACAGTCTTAGAAAAAATTAAGCACTTTGGATGGGAAAGGTAAGCGTATGTTTAATCTCTCCGACTGAAGTCAAAATAAGGTTGTCTCTGTAGCCTTATCTGTCAGGTTTTCCTGGATTCTAGACATGCCACTCATTGTCTGTTTGAATCCTTAACTGACCATGTTTCCCAGATTTCAATTTAAAATAAAGAAATAAAAGCCTCTAGTCCTCATTGAATGGGGCTCTGGCTCTGGCATGGGCTCTGGCATGGGTGGCTTAGGCTCTGCGTTGGCGGAGAGGCTATCTGGTGACTGCCCTAAAATGCTCAACAACTTTTTGTGTCTGGATTTTTACCTCTTGAAATATGGCAACCCCATTATACAACCTTTAGAAGATATCTGAAGGCAGCCCTGCATAGTGAAGTATTTTTTATGTTGTATATGTTTTTATATATATTGGAAGCCGCCAGAGTTGCTAGGGCAACCCAGTCAATTGTTGTTGTTGTGTTGTTGTTGTTTTGTTGTTGCATCAGATTTGGGATATTCCTCATGCATATGTTTCCAAAGGATATTTGCTGCACACCCACACAGGACCTTTTAACATGACTGATTTTAGTCCAATGACCCACAGAATATGGAAAGAATATTAAATAGGACGTCCCTATTTTCATCAGAGGTATATTGGAGGGTATGACACTAACTTCTTCCCCCCCACCACATGAGACAATAGGGGGAGTGCTGTGGGAGGGGGGCGATTTTTGATTACAAAAAGAATTAGAAGGGAGAATTTTAATCACTCCTTCCTCCTAAGGCTCTTTCCTGCAATCAACTTTTAGTCCTTTGACCGCATTTCCCTAACAAAACAAAATCTTCAGACCAAACCACCTGCATAGTTTGAGGCTCAGCACATGGTTAAACGTTGCCTTAAAATGATGCAGTATATATCATTAATCTCACCACTGTCCTGCCCCATCATTTTCCGCTGATGGTTGGATTGGATTCATAGTCATATACATCCCACACAAAATGCAAGCTCGGAGCACAGCAAAAGTCAGTCTGGTTATCGGTCCCCTCACATCCACTACCAGCCAAAAACCTGTTCATATGAAGTAGTATCATCACATCCTTTGCCCTCTTGCCTTTTGTGGGCTAAGACCATAGTTCTTAGGCCCAGGATTGACAAAACCTCTCTCAATAGCTTGTATGTGAAGTGCATTCTAGCTAGATTTAAGGTGTTAACAGCCAAATCCTGCATAGATTCTGCACAGGCTGTATGTAGATAAGTACATTGAAATTTACGAAACAGGGCTGTAAGGTTGCAATCCTGTGCACATTTACTGTTGGGAGTAAAATCCATTGAACTTGTGGGAAAGAAGGACCAAGACAGAGAACGACAATGGCATGTTCATGATTGTTTCTTGTTTACTAAATAGGAAAGCCCAATCCAGATTCAAGCCTTTGCTCCAGTTGTGGTCCTGATCCAGATCACTGCCCCCAGCAGCTGTTTACAAATTGACCACCATTGTGTCTATTTTCACCCTTACTTCCAAGTAAACATGTATAGGATTAGGCTATTACCCAACTAATGACTACAATAGTTTCAGAATTACCCTCACCTGGTGGCTTTTTCAATTTTCTAGTTTATCGCTGACCAAGTTACTGTACTTTTCTGTCTATAAGACGTCCCCTTGTATAAGACACCCCCCCCCATTTTGGGGGACTAAATTTTAAGAAAATGAGGGGAGATGGCCCAAAGTTGTTGAGCCTCTCCTCCCGCACAGCTGCAGGCAGGAAACACTCCCTAGATCATTTCCCACACGCAACAGCACTGGGTGAATTTGCGCTCCCTCCAGCCATCCGGTTTGCAGGAGTGCAACCTCCCCCAATGCCGCCACGCAAGGGAAATGATCCAGGGAGTGCTTCCCGTGCGCAGCGGCATCGGGTAAATTTGCGCTCCCGTCAAAGAGCTGGCTGGCAGCACGCTGCTTCTCCCCATCACGCAGCTGTTGGCAGTAAACACCCCCCAGATCGCTCCCCGCTCGCTGCGGCATCAGGGGAAGCCGCGCTCCAGCCCACCGAATGGCTGGCAGCACGCTACTTCTCTCCCCCCCCCCGCCATGCCACTATCCATGTATTGGATGACCTCAGTTTTTTGAAGTGATTTTTGAGTCAAAAACCCTCGTCCAATACACGGAAAAATACGGTATATTGTTTTACACCTGTGTGCATAATAATAATTCATAATAAAAATGTTCATTTCCCTGGAACATTCACAAGCCACTTGGGGAACCTAAGATCAAGAGTTGCCTTGCTGAATCAAAGCAAAATCCATCCTAGATCAGCATTCTGCTGTTAATATCAGAAAGCAAAAACCTCTGCAAGCTGTCAAGCAAGGCATAGAAATGAAAGGCACCAGCTGTTCCTTTGAGGTATACTGCCTTCATCTATGTAGGTTCAACCATTTTTCATAAAGCAATCTCATCACATCTTAGGATGCTGAGTTAATTATTAACTTTGTACAGAAGTATTTTCTTATGTCAGCCTTGAACCGTATGCAGACCACTTCTTTGAAGACCTTGAATTATGAGATGAGAGGTAGGGGGAAGTCGCTCTCTACCCATGCTTTGCATAGTGATAAGAACATAGCCTCAACTGAAGCAATAAAATACATAACCTGTATGCCACAATAAACCTTTAAGGTAGTCATTGTGGGTTTTGCTGCAACAAACAAAAACTGCTGACATTCTGGAGTAAGCTAGAGAGCAGAACTTTTCTATGTGAATTCTCAGCTACGTAGAAGAGATAATAACGAAAATATATCAGGAATCCACTAGTTTGCTTTTCATGCCTTTGGTATCATATTCCATTATTCTTTGCAGAGGGGTTTTAATTAAACCAACTTGTGATCTTTCAGATGAAGGGTGGTATACAAATGTTAAACAACAGGCCATTCAGTAAATGCTAATTTACCATTGTAGATATAACTTTAGAAATTGGTTGCCCGTAGTTCCTGCCAAAATCTGAGAAGCATTTTAAAACATGTTCAGTCAGAAAGCATCATCCTGTGTTAAGCTGCCACCTCTATTTGTCCACTGTTGACTCTGATGACTCACATTTATCTTAAGATCAACTGAGTAACACCCAAACTTGGCTGCCAAATGTCTCCTTTTGCCTGCCTTTATATCAAAAAGTTGGTTCTGATACAAAATCACACATGTGATTTGATGATTCAAGAGAAGCCCATAAAAAGAACAACATGTCTTGTGGCACCTCAAAGACTGAAATTTGTTGCCTGAAAACAACAGAGTCTTTTTAAGCCTAGCAAATTTATTATGGCGAAAGTTTTTGTGGGCTAAAGTCCACCATGAAAGCTTATTCCACAATACATATGTTAGCTGCCAAAGAATTCTCTTTGTTTCCGTACTATGAAGCAAATCAATTGATTCAGCTGAGCCAGAACAGAACAGTATGAAACTTGCTGAGAAATTCTAGTACAGCAACTCCAGGCTAGAACTGCCTGTTTTAAGTCTTTTTGCCAGAGTATTGTTAATTTGGGGTCACCAGCAGGGGATCCTGCTCTTCCACTGAATGTTGCCATTTTTTATATCAGATTTGTGTTCTTTAGTACAAATGGCCTGTTTATGGGCCAGCCTAATACTTTTTGGCACCTGAGGCAAACCACAAAATGGCACCCCCTCCCTGCCAGGGAAGAAGGGGTGAGTGAATATCTACACCAGGAAAAAGGGAGGAATAAAGATCTATTTTGGGATCTGCTGCCCCTGTAGATCCTGCCACCTGTTGCCTCTCCTTGTCTCATGGGTGATCCAGGCCTATTCAGACAAAGGCATTGTTGGTAATGGTGTTTTATGGGCAGGTGAATGAACTCTGATGGCATGGCTGATGTTATTAGGTTCTGTCTCCTGCTTGAAACCTTATTTGATAATGATAATGATAATGATAATTTATCATTTATTTATACCCCGCCCATCTGGCTGGGTTGCCCCAGCCACTCTGGGCGACTTCCAACAAAATATTAAAAATATTTTAGCACTGCCTCTCCTTCTTTCTCAATCAATTTCCCTAGCTTACAGATGACTTAGTCCTAACAGATGACAAATATTATCTTTAGCAGAGTCAATCCATTCAAATGAGTCTTATGCCTCTTTACAATTCCTATAATCCAATTTTAAGAAGGCAGAATCACATTTCAAGATTATTATGTTTAAACAGATGCAATGTGCAGAAGGGAGTAGTAGACATTGATCAGTCTGTAAGATCTTCTTGATCACAAGGGGATAGATGGATGCTGGATGCACACATACTAAAAAAAATGGAGATAGGTGCTGCTTCCCACCTGTGTGGAGGAGACACTCTCTGGGTGTGGAAGATAGTAACATGCAATATCATATCCCATTTATAGCATGCTTTGATCCAGCATCTTCCCTCCATCACCCTTGATATCCAGCATCCTTGCAAAACCCTATCACTGATTATAACACTTCAAATTCCGTGTTATACAGTTTCACCTGTGTTACAGAATGTAAGTACCCTGCGTGCCATATACACTATGTTGGAAAAACGAGGGCAGACCTTTGTTACAATTTCAAAAAATCACAAATGAGTAGTCGCGCACACACAAGCCTTGAAAAACCTGTTGCCACCTGCTTAAACAAGCACAGCGTTTCAGATTTGGAAATATAGCCAAAAGGAAAACAAACAAAACTCATGTACTAGTCATATTGCATCTGAAGAACTATGCCCAGTCCTGGACATCACATATTTAGAAGAATTTAGATAAATTGGAACACGTTCAGAGGAGGGCAGCGTAGATATGGTCCATGGTATAAAGACAAGCCCTATGACTGGGTATGTTTAGCCTGAAGAAGAGAAGATTGTGACAGTATTCTTCACACACACACACACACACACACACACACACCCTGCAACAAATAAGACAAGGTATTTAAAATCAACACAAAGTAAAACGGATTTGTAGGTAAATATTATGAAGTTGGTTGCACTTGTAATAAAGTCTAGGAACACTATGCTAAACCCAGAACTGCAGTATAACATCTGATCAGTAGAGGGCAGACATAACCCGACAAATTTGTACCAAAGAAGAAATTACATTCTTGCGATAGAATGATTGTCCTGTTACCTTTGAAGAATAAAGGGACAATTCTGACATTGTTAAATGTCTTCTTGGGCTCATTACCCTCAAATCTAAAGGAATGTTCAAGCTTACCAGGTTCCATGAAAATATCTCACTTTATGGAAACATCCATAGCTTATAGGTGCAGAAAACTACTGTACAGTATATTCTATGTCAAGATACCACCTTTTGCTTATATTATTCATCAGGGTTTTTCCCCCCTACAAAAGAAGGATCTTAACTAAACAGTGTTTGAAATGAAGGTGCAACCAAGCTGCTTTTCTTCATTCTGAACAAACAGGTTAGAAAACGGAAATATTACAGCCTTGCAGTCTATGTCTTAAAATGTATCTGTGATTCTCACCTGCACACTGTTATCAGGGATGAGATTTTCACCCAGAGATTCATTCCCAATTCCAGAATCGTCCTTCAAAATGGGATCATCTGTGGGGGTTTGGTTTCAGAAAGGCAAACTCATTCCGGTCTGCCTTAGACGCTAAGCACACTTCATATGAATAGGGCAATGTCAATGTCCCATTATTGTAATTGCAGGAAAATTTGTGTCCCAAGCTAGAGTACAAGTCAGTATTGTAGGATCCAAGCACTGTTGGGCTTCTCTGTTTCCGACATTTAAGTATTAAAACTGTTAAGACTGTAAAAAGGAATAAGAATGAGACCAAAGCCAAGGCTATAACTAAAATGGCATTCATATCAGACTGATACTTAGAGTCAATGGCTGGTTTGCTCATTTCTGGAAGTGCCTCTTGGAAGTTCTCGGCAACCACGAGGTTGAGGACCACAGTAGCTGAGAGCGGAGCCTTCCCATTGTCCTTCACCAGGACGACCAGCTTCTGTTTCACAGCGTCTTTCTCCAGAAGGGCTCGTGACGTCCTGATCTCTCCCGTGTGGGTCCCAATGGTGAAGAGGGCCGGCTCCGTGGCCTGCAGCACTTGGTAGGAGAGCCAGGCATTGTGCCCAGAGTCTGCGTCCACAGCCACCACTTTGGTCACTAGGTAGCCTGGCTCTGCCGAGTGAGGAACCATCTCAAACAAGGCAGAGCCCTCAACACCCGGGAAAGGATACAGAACGCGAGGGCTGTTATCGTTCTGATCCAAAATGTACACCCACACGGTGGCGTTGTTGCTGAGAGAGGGAGAGCCGCCATCTTGGGCCTTCACTTGGATCTGAAACTCCCGGAATTGCTCATAGTCAAAGGAGCGCTGTGCATAGATAGTTCCCGTCTCAGAGTTGATGGAGACGTAAGAGGAGAGAGGCAGCTCCTCCATGTTGCTGTTGAGGATGGAGTAAGTGATACGTGAGTTGCGGTCCAGATCCGGGTCCAAGGCTTTGATGGCGAAAAATGGAAGCACCTGAGGGATTGTTTTCTGGCACAAAGACACTGTAGGTTGATTTTTCAAAGGCAGGGGGGTTGTCATTGATATCTGAAATCTGCAGGGAGATGGTTTTGTTGGAGGAGAGAGGGGGGCTACCTTTGTCGGTGGCCGTGATTGTGATGTTGTATCCTGAGGCTTTTTCTCTGTCCAAGGGACTGTCTGTAAGTAGCTTGTAGTAACTGTTAGATGAAGAAATAATTTTAAAAGGCAAATTATATTGTATGTGGCAAGTAACCTTCCCATTTTCTCCTTCATCTCTATCATCCACATTGATCAAAGCTATCACAGTTCCTGGTAGGGAGTCTTCGGGAACTGGACTAAACATAGATGTTAGCAAAATCTCTGGAGCATTGTCATTCTCATCCAGAACATCAATCTCAACTTTACAATGTGCCAGTAGTCCACCACCATCTTTGGCTTCCACTAACATCATATAGCTTCTGGATTCTTCGAAGTCTAAAGTCTCCCTAACTAAAATTGCTCCACTTTCTGGATCCAGGCTGAATTTCTGGCTTGCTTTAGCTGGGATATTGCTAAAACTGTATCTTATCTGTGCATTTGGACCTTCATCTGCATCAGAGGCTTTCACCTGGATCACTAACGATCCTTTTGGCGCACTCTCTTTTAGGCTGAGTTTATAGACTTCTTCATTGAAAACAGGTGGGTTGTCATTGGCATCAGTGACATTAATCCATATCTGGGCTGTTCCAGTTTTTCTTGGTTCTCCACCATCCAGGCCTGTAAGGATCAAGTGGAGGCTGTGCTCACTTTCCCGATCCAGAGGTTTGCTTTGCACTAAAATAGGATATTTATTTCCATCTGGACTTTCTTTAACTTCCAAGGTGAAGTACTGGTTATTGCTCAGCTGGTAATTTTGCAGAGAATTTATCCCAACGTCAGGATCTTCAGCACTTGCAAGGGGGAATATGGCTCCAGTCAAGCTAGATTCACTTATTTCTAGCTTGATATCATCTTTTAAAAATTGTGGTGCATTATCATTAATATCCTCTATGGTGATGCTTATATGAAAAACATTGAGAGGGTTTTCAACCACAGTTTCAAAGTTAAGGACACAACGGGGTGATTTCCCACAGATTGCTTCTCGATCTATTTGGTCTCTTACGTAGAAGTCTCCATGTTCCTCATTCACAGTAAAGAACTGAGCATTAGCTACAGAAACAATACGGAGCTTCCTCTTCACCAGGTCTCTCTTACTCAGACCCAAATCTTTGGCCAGATTTCCCACAAGAGAACCCTTCTCCCTTTCCTCAGGAATTGAATACCAGACCTCTTCCGACATTGTCAGGCAGAACAAAGAGAATAACAAGGAAAGCTGTACTTGCCGCTGGAGTGGCTCCCTGCTCCCTGTGATCTTCAGCCATTTCCTCGGCTGCTTTGTTTGCATCTTTTCTTTTCTGATTCGGGTCTTCAAGTTTCTTTCATGCTGCAAGAAGTTGTTGTCAGGAGCAGGCATCATTCCGTGATGCAGTCTCAACGGGGAGGGATCCATTTTTGGTAGGATGCTATATTGTTGTCCCTCAATTCCAGCTCCTTCAGATTTGCAGAACTTAACTCAGTAATTGTTACAGCACAGGAAAAGTGAATGGACCCCTGATTTCTATCCTTATCCCGTATTGGCCAACAGCGGCACTCTGAGTCTCTGCTGGAAAACTGCAGGAGCACCTACTGGCACAACATGCTGATAAGAGTTCAGAGGCTGAAAGGGTAGCAACATTTCTCACGAGATGCGCACAGGTTTATGCAATTATTTAGTTGTGTGTGCATTTCACAATTCTCCTTAAGGCAGTATGTGCAAGAGTGAACACACATATGGTGCATACAGAAAACACTCTGAATTAACTATCAGTGGGCTTTGTATCAAGAACTTTATGAACAAAGTTTCTGAGGCAGAGATATAGCACTCAGCACTTAATTTGAGAGGGTTTCCTTCACAATAGCCCCCCAAAGCAAAGCCTTAAATTCTTCAGAAGGTCTAAAGGCAATGCCCATAGTACCAGCTTTTGTGCCAGACTGCCAACCTCATTTTATGATTAGAGGAAGAAACTGAGGCAGAAAGGGGTGGGAGTCATTATGAAGAGCTGTTGTGTGGGGAACAACTACAAGTGCTGGGCCCTTGCTCCCCACCCCCTAGAATTTCTGAATCCACAATACTTCCATTTCATAGGACAGGAATGGGCAGACATCAAGCTAAACTATCAGTCAGAACCAGGTGCAAAAGACATAGGGTTGTAGTCAACTAAGTCCTGCTCTGAGGTAGACTCAGTGACATAAGTGAACCTAAGTTAGTCATGTCCATCAACTTTAATAGGTCTGAGTAGGACTAGCATTGAGTACCACCCATAGAATTAAAGAACAGGCTTCTTCTGAGCACATTCTGAGCCAAGGAATGTGTTTTCAGTACCAGAACAGAACTGCTCGATAATCATTCACACAAAAGTTCACTCCTGGTTAGTTTTCCTCATTTCAGCAGCCTAATTTAGGTGAAAAAAAGTTTTTTTGTTACTGTTATGCTGGGAGCCAGAAACCCTTGCCATTCTGCTGAAAATCACCCAAAGATCTATTGGTGGATCCTGAATCATCGCCTGCCCATCTCTGTCTAGGATATTGCATGCGATACTTCTGCAATAATTGCAACAATTTTGTTTTTTAGCCTTATATCCTATTCAGTCTACAGAGACTGATGATAGGCAAGAATGTTATATAAACAGACAAGTTGCAAATGATAATTGTAGTCACTGATGACAAAATCACAGAGTTTGAAATATGTTCCTAAAGTCAGTATGGGCCATACAGGAAGTATATGTCTGAGTCCACATCCATGGCTACCACCTTAGTGACCAGGTAGGTAGCCTGGCTCAGAGGAGCGAGGGACCAGCTCTATCCCTATGGAACCATCAGTGGGAGGGGAGGGGTACAGGATTTGGGGAGCATTGTCATTTTGGTCCAGGATGAAGAGAGTCACTGAGATCTTGGAGCTGAGTGGTGGGGAGCCTCCATCCTTCCATGGGACTTAATCTCCTGGAACTTTTCATAAATGAAAGAACATCAGGCATAAATAACCCCAGACAGAATTAATAGAGTTATATAGACAAATTACTGATCTCATTTTTAATAAGTTATTCTCGGTCTGGATACGTTGTTCTTCATGGACCGCACAACCCTGGCCCAGGACTGGATAGCTGAGATCCTGGCTGGCTCTCAGAATCTTCCTCATCTCTTTGGGGGCCACAGGCTGAGAGAAGAAGGTGAACCAGGCAGGAACATAAGAGTTGCCACAGTGCCTGGCTAGCTGCTGCAGAGGCTACTCATGAGAAGGAATCAAATGGAAACAAGTCCTGACTGAGATCTTGGAAGGGGTGGATCCTCTAGCTCCTGTATAAGTTCCCAGTCTAAGTTCCTTCACTGCTGAAGCAACAGCTCCCATCTCCTCTTCAGTCTGGCACCACACTGTAATGATTGCTGATCGATTTCTTCAGTTTGAAAGGGAGACTGTCAGAACCGAACACAGGATTTATCCATGGATTCTTTAATCCTGATGTTGCATGTTTAGGAGGGCTTCTGTTGTCATCTTGAGAGAGATTTCTTTGGGGAGTTTTTGGGCAGTACAATATGTGAGGATATGGCTAATTAAAGAGCATAGCCATACACAGGTAACAAGGATAACAAATATTGACAATCTCCATATTGAGCCTGGGCTCACTGAATAATGGAGGCTTGTTTAAAGCCTAAGGCACTGTCATTGCATCAAGAAATGTGACTCAGGTATTTGAAGTACCAGAGCTTTCTGACTCTCCTCCTTAATACACTGTGAGGAGCAGATGGTGAGCAGCTTCCTCTCTGTGGTTAAGAATTCTTTCTACCACAAGTTCAACATATCTGGCACCTCCAGCTGCTATTTTCACGTCCAGGATAAAATTATTCCTTTAGCTGATTTTGAGGTTCTAGAGAGAATTGGTTTCCAAATCAGAATCTTGTGCCTTATAGATGGCAAATTGGAGTTCTCTTGCTTTATTCTCACCAACTTTTGTTTCTGGTTCTTCTGATGGGAACCTGGGCGCATTGTCATTAATACCTATCGTTTCAATTTCCACTCCATAAATTTTCATTGACCCCTTCACATATAACCACAAAATTCATGACACACTTCTCTACGTGGCCACAAATTCCTCTCCATGTATTTGGTCTGTGGTGTGTAAATGACCAACTTCAGAGTAAAATACTGAGACCTATATTGTGAAAACTATGTACACCTCTCTCTGAAAGATCTCTTATATCCAGTCTCATCTCATTTGTGCAGAAGAAGCATGCACTCTGCCACTGATGCCACAGTTCTCCCTTTAATTACTGTTAGAGCTAACCATGATTTGGCCACAACACCATTTTAAAGAGCCCCAGAATACGAGGAACGCACTTTTGAGTATGTGTAGACTGCCTGTCTTTTATTGCTAAGTCACCGCAATAAACTTTCACGGGTCTGATGTTGGTGGGAAGTATAACAGGGCACAGGTAAAGTTGGGTTCCAAAATATTGGTTGGGGTAGTACACAAAGCATTCTAAAATATGAACAGATTATTTTAAATAGATTTTACGCAAGTACAGCATTGAAAATGTCTCCTGATACTACCGTCTTCAGAGACTCCTATTTCTATGTGGAGGTTTGTGGCCCACATCAATATACTATTAATTAGCAAGAAGAGATCACTTCCCTATCTCTTGACAGCTAAAAAAATAGTAACTTTTTAAAAAGCAAAGCTAATCAAGTAAAATTGCTACCTTATTTAATGAAAGTGGATATAACAAACACGCTTCTCAGATTGTTATGAGCTCCTCTTTGAATGGCAGTACTTCGTTACTTCATTCTGCTAAGCATAATTACATGTCAGGAAGTCCAATAGACTTTAGTGAAGCATACTTCCAAGTACATATGATCATGAGAGCAGTCAATGAAAATCAAAGTTATTACTAGGAAACAAACCTAAACAGAAACAATGATAAAGTAAATGATTCACAGTGAGCTCAGTGGTCTAGATAAAGGAAAATGAGTCATTTCAGCAAGAGATGCCCACCTCATTGCCTCTTTCTATGGTTGTTCACTGATTACTCCTTCATGTGTAGAATTCATGCACATTCCCCAATCTTTGTGCTGTCTCTGGCCCTGTCCAACATCTGCATATTCAGTGGAGCATTGGGAAGAAGAACCTACACGTTTACAGCCGTATGTGCATAGGTTTTAACCTGGCTTGGGTGTTATGACTGAACAAGGAATTGCAGTATTGTAAGGGTGCTTCATTATCAGGGTTCTCAATTGTGAGGAGGCGTCTAAGAGCTCAGTGCAGTGGATGGAGTCAGCTGACTGCAGGGCTGGCAAACAGGACCCCATGCGCCTTACTTGTTACGATTCTTTTCAGGTATAATAAAAAAAACCTCTTTGTACTCAGTTCCTGTTGCATGGATTCAGCCTCTCCTGCACTGAAGCCATTATGCCACACCCTAGGCATCTCTTTTGTGTAACATCACATCTCCATGGCAGCCACTTTGTGTCAAGACACGCCCCTATAGCAGCCATTTGTGGCTGGTGCCCACAACACTCTCTCCAAATTCCAAATGTGCTTACTGGACAAAAAAGGCTGGCTACCCTGCTTTATATTCACTATGCAAGAAAGGCCATTATTTGACTTGAGCATTATCAGTTTGGACATTGTCCTGTGCAAATGTCAGAAAAAGTGAATGCATTACATATCTATATCTGTATCTAATCATCTATATCATTTGTATCTATATCTATATCTATATCTATATCATTCTGCCAATTCACCTTGGATGAATGGCAGATTTTAAAAAACCTATGTTTATTTTAAGATAGGTTTCCTTTCATTTGGAGCTCAAAGGTCAAACCCTGAGGAAGATAAGGAAAGAGGATTGAGGTGGTCTCCTCAGGTGAAGTACAAAATGCAACATGAAAAGAATCCCAGGCTCACTAGATTTTTACTCCATTCCCATAAAAGCTCACTGGAATTCCTCGAACATATTGGGTTGAAATGAAGTTACCTTTTCTTTTATCAAGGTTTTATTCCATATTCTGATTGTAAAACATGCCACAGGGAATGTGAACATGGATGGCTCTCATGCTAAAGAGCATATTTCATAGTCTGTAAGTTCTTTTCCAGGTGCTGTGACCCCAGCACACATATGATCCACACAATATCTGTTGTTGACACATGAACAGCCGAGACTATTCTCAGTCACACCCACGTGTAGAAATGTGTGTGAACCAGCAAAACATGCAACCAAACAAAATGTCCATGATAAGGGAATG